ATATTGCCCCCCCCCCCCCCTCTTACTAGTACATCTATCACGTACAAACTACACAGGTCTCGATAACAATGTAGTACACTGCTTAACGAAAATGTGCTTGGTAGTTATTTTCAAGGTACTGTCACTCGTATATAGCGTATAGTTTTTTTGACTATATGTTAAAACTATACTTTAAAACGCATGTGAAAAATTGGCCTTACGCAGAGAAACGCAAAGGATCCGTTAGACGTAGCCGTATAGCCCTCTAGTATGCAGGCAAAAGAAGATAAATGTTGTGAGCATGTTCAAATACAAGTCCATGCGCTGTTTAATATGCTTATTTCTTTGCGTTAAAAAGAGGGCGATTTCTCTCGCTGACAGTTGTGCGTGTAATCGATTTTACATGCGACATTCATGAGCACCTCTTTACGCTAGATGCGACAGGGCCTTTACGATGACACTAAATGCGAGTTGACACAAAGACTATTTAGGAGCGGAAGTCGGAAGACGTTTTTAAATGACTATAAGTGGAAAACAGCGAGGGCAATCGCCTAGACAGGAGCCGGTTCAGAATTTTAGACAGGCTTTTCTTCATCGTTGCTTTTTTAAAAATTCAATTCAGAAATGTAAATTTTCCCTTTGTAAATGTTGCATTCATGATACCAGCTACCAAATCCTAAGACTAATTTTAACCGCCTTCCGGAAGACGCGGCGAAATTGTTTTACTCCCACCCGTCTTCTCTTAAAACTCGCCAGATGCAATCGCGCCGGATAATAACATTTCATATTTTCCATTCCGAACAAAAAAATGTTCAGGGTGCGACTAAATCGTTCAATAATTTACAGATTTAGTGAGAAATGCTGATCTGAAATTCAGTATAAGCATTCAAATCACCGCCATATTTCATACAAACCCGCTGTTTGTACAAGCCAGGTTAAGGAAAATTATATAGAAATTACTTTTCCATCCACGTAATAAACAGTTTCAAATATTTAATCTAGACAATCACAAAAATGTTTTTATCTAATATAATTAAAGATGTTTGTAATGTTTTTATTCAAGCAGAAAAGTAATAAACGTTTAATACACAGTAACAAATCAAAATCGGTTAAAAATATCTCAAAATAATTCTTCAAATCAAAAATATGGAAGTCTAAATGATTTTGGAATCATAAAAATCATAAAATAGACGGATCTCAATGTTGCTTTTAGGTATATCTCAGCCATAAAAACGATCCACAGGACAGCATTACGTAAAAAAAATATTTTACAAAGTTCTACCTTCACCTAAATAGGCAAACAAGGTCGGGATAATTGAACTTACTAAATTTTGCACACACAATGCGACACAACTCTAAATATTTGTGTTTGTGCGTTACAAGTTTTTTAGCGCAGTGTTTCAATTAATACACCGGTCGTACGTCAAAAATCAAAGAAACAAAATCCGCAAGTGACAGAGATACATAATTGACAGATCTTGCAGATAGACAAGTCACTCGTGTGTATCGTTACACTGATTTCACTTTAAATCTGCCAAAGCAGGGATTTTAACGTCCTCGTAAGACAAGGGCATATAGTCCGTTGGCAATGTCCAACATGTTACCCAGGAGTATTATCAGAAATATATTAAAACAACCTCTGTGTGGGGAGGACGGGTCATTTCGCAGTCCTGTTTTAATATTTTCCGTCCACTGGCTCTAATACTTTCCGTTCACCGCAAAGAACGCCATGACAAACAGGTAAGCAAGAGCCGAGATCTGTGGCGAAGCCGCTGCGCTAACCTTGACACACGCCCCCTCTGTGCTGGAGGCTCCCTCGGTGGCGCACATGCTGGAGTTGGAGAGGATGGGGGAGAGAACGGGGGTACGGAACCCGCACAGCTCCCGCAGGGTCTGCACGCGGGCTGGCGTGGCTTGGTACGCATATTTCATACGCAGTCTGAAGTTGGAGCCGGTTTCCAGTGAACCGACGAAGATGTAATCCTGGCCCGGTCTGACGTGGGTGAAGTCGCACGTGGAGCCCAGGCTGATGTTGCCTCGCGGCAATGCGTCCGATTTCAAATCTGACTTGGAGTGCTTTAAAACGCAGTAGAGCTCCACCACGTACACGTACAAGGGGAGAATCACCCTCGTTAACGGCCCTGGGATTGTTATAGCGCCACCGCCCGACCCCAACTGGATGTCTACGTCACACTTGTCACACGTGTTGTCCAGGCACGAGAGACAGCTCCCCTTGACGCTGGCGGAGACATTCGTGACGTAATAATCCACAACCCGGCCATGGATTGCCTCCTGGTTATAGTAAAGAACTTCATTAAATGGCTTTGAAGAGTTGAGTTCATTGGAAACAAAGTTGAAATTCGAAGGCGGAGAAGGACCTAGGACTGATACACTAGTGGCTTTGAAGAACGGGCAGTCCCCGGCGTAGATAGGCGGCGCTAGCGTCGTGGAGGTCTGTGACAGAGATCCCTGTATGAAACACAAGCACAACACAGCTATCACCATCGGTGCCATTATCTGGAAGAGAAGATACAAAGGAATTTTACTGACAGACGACCCGAATAAAAAACTTCCTCTGTTCCTACTGTATTAATAAGTAAATAACAAGGCAGCAAAGCTGTCAAATGTACAGACAAAAAACAGGAAATAACTANATGCCATATTACATAATGCACGCACACACACAAGTGTATGCACAGACTTGAATTGCCTCATATCTGGATGACATCTCAAGATAGGGGCTGTTGCAATATGACGTCAGTTACCACAGCAACGGTTCAGGCGGGTGGGACTTTCAACAACCAGTGGGTCAATTAATGGACAAAAACAGTGTAAAGAGGACGTAAAAGATTCTCTTTTCTTTTGGAAGTGCTGGCTACAGTCCTGTGATATTCGACGCAATGTTGGAAATAAATGACGCAGGTCGTCTCGCAGAGTATTCCCCCCGTATTCCGCTTATTTATGTTAAAATCAATATATCTGGGGGCGTGAATTGCAAGTCTAAAAAAACGACTGTGCCAACACTTACGACAAAACAGCAACTATCCTGGTAAATATACAGTAGCCATATGCAATTATTATCGGCAAGTGTGTTGCGAATAAAAGCCCTACGCAATGCGGTCTTTGTGCTACTCTGCGACATAATACAGTGAGGAGATCAATTAGACCTACTAGTGCTTTATAGAAATGGCGGTAACCCGTCTGCAGCAGATGACCTATAGTGGACAGAAGACAGGTGTTCAAAATGTCTAAACAGCGTCTATAGGGGCCTACACCCTTTACATTTACGTCCCAGCTTCACTGACCCCATTTAGATCCGGTAAAATCTCACCTCTGCACTGGCTTTATGTATAGTCTCAAATATAGGTCACTAAACTACGCGAGCAATAACGTTTCCTCTACCATTCACAACACACACAATACAGGGGCGGATTTAGGCCGTCTTCTGGGTCTTCTGGAAGACAGTCAGATTTTCAAGTTTACATTGACGGGTATCTAATTTTTTCCGTTGGAAGACGGTCAAAAATGGAGGATAGATTAATAAAGATAATTTGGAAGACTGTCAGATTATATCTCTGGATCGGCCCCTGCAATACCATGTTCATATGTCGAGCCACACTCACACACGCCGACTTACCTTCTTTATGTCCACCTGCAAATTGTTAAATTTCGCAACTTTCTCTTTGCTTTATACCGCAACGAACATCCTTTTTCCTGGAAAGATTTCAAAACTGGTTTTTCTCCAGTGACTCATTCCACAGCGGTCATACATTATCACAGTGCTGCTGACACCGTGTTGTGACGTCATCCTCGAGCTCGTGCATAAAGCTCTTCTACAGGGTCACCGTTAACACAACAGTAGGCTATAATTGAAGACAACTTGGGGGGGGGGGGGATACAAGAAAGATGACTATTTGGTATAACATGGTATAGAGGTGTTTCACATTGTAACAGACTTTATGTCATTTTATGAACCGATCGAGGTTTCAGTGGCAATTTTCTGTACGATGATGAAGTCGATGAACACTATAGTATATATACATACATGAATATATGACCACGGCTTTCATCACTGATATTTTCCAAAGGACAGTGAGTGATTTCTTACTGTAGTTGCCAAACAAAAATATAATATAGGCCCCATATGTTCTTTTATGAGTCCGTCTTGGGTTTGGCGTACAATTTTAAGCGTTTAGACTTAAATAAAACGACAATTAATTGAACTATAACAAAAAGTATATAAAGTGAAAGTAATAGGAAAAACTGATGCTATGTATGCAATGCGTGATATAGAAGCCGCTGCAACTGCTTCACAAGGCATGTCGGGGTCTGTCCCGTACGTTGAACACTGGCTATAGTCAGCCAACGTCGGTGATATCTCCGGCGATCGAAAGCCACACAGCTGGCGAAGAAGTTCGACTTTTTCGTCAAGCATTTTATAGGCATATTTAAGCTCAAAGTTGAGCTTAGGGCTTAAAGTGGTCACTCGTCCAGTAAAGATGTATTCAGCGTTCGGTCGTACGTGGCTAAAATCACAAGTGGTCGCCAGCGTTATTCGAGCTGGGAGAGCTCTGTACGTCAGGGCAGGTACGTTATGTTTTACCACACATATAAGGTCCACGTCATAATAGTGCTGTGGGAGAATGTATTGCGTCACACCTGGCTCCACGTATCCACCGATAGCTAACGTGACGTCACACGAAGAGCACGTGGCGTCACACGTCAAACAGGTACCCTTGGCTCCGACAGTGACGTTTCCCATGCGGTAGTCGACAACTTTACCCTGTATTACATCCTGGGAGTGAAACAGCTCGTCCTTAAATGTTCGACTGGAGTTTATTGCTGTTGTAACCAGGCTGAATTCAACTTTGAACTTTGAGCCAAGGATTTTGGGGGTCTGTGCCTTAAAGAAAGGGCACTCTGGTGCAATAACTGGTGAGGGTGGAGTTGGTGATGGTTCCTCCCCTTCGACAAGGTGTAACGTCAACAGCGCTGACAGGTGTAGTACAAGACTGCCTCCAAACATCTTTCTGAAACAACAAAAGTTTTAATTTTAACATTACTAAAATAATGTTTAAGCCTATTTTGTGGTAATCGGACTTTTATGCTGCTTATTTTTTATGGTTGTAAACAAAAACAGTTTAAGACCAAATAAATTTTAGAATTCTTTTAGAAAAAAAAAAAGAATTTACTAAAGGTATTTTAAAATGTCGAACTACCTAGAATTCGGTGATTTAATATACATTAAAAACAATTTAAGAAATTACGTAAAAGCACGTCTCCTGGTATTCCCCCACTACCTAATGAACGGTTGTTTATAACAGTGGACCTAATTAATGTACTGCTAGTGGCATGACGTAAGCTATTGCCACTGACCTCAGGTTTTAAAGAACTATAAACTTTTGGAAGATGTTGTGATGCTCAAGAGCTTTTAGACTATGGCAGAACACAGGTAATGGCGAACCACAGTTATTGTTTAAATGTTAAAATTAAATAAATAAATAAATAAATAAATAAATAAATAAATAAATAAATAAATAAATAAATAGACAGCGGGCCACACAGCCAGTCAATCAGGCAGACAAACTAACCGTTAGCTGGACCTTACTAAACTCAGGGTAATAAACTGAGGCAGGCACTGACATCAATAAACGTATTCACACGCAAAGGGAGTACAGGAATGAGCAGCCACAGGAGAATGAAAACACTAATGCAAATGCCGTACACGTATTGATTTCTTCTAATAGTAAATCGAAGTAAGGAGAGAGTCAGCCAGCGTCCGACATGCTTACGAGTTACGACCTACCAATATTACAAACTCTCACCCCTCACAGCTCTCTCTCCTTCCTCCACCCCCATCCCAACCCCCACCCCCATCCCCACCCACACCCTCTGCAACCTAACCCCAGAATAAATAGATCTACACAAGGTACTGAGGAAACGCGCACGCACGCGCGTGTGTGTGTGTGTGGTGGGGGGTCAGAAAAAAAGAGACAGCGGTGTGTGTGTGTGTGTGTGTGGCTTCAATCTTACTTTCTGCACCACTTTTGACTGACGTACATAGTTGAAAATAGCTACACCCGCACCCCCCGTTGCCGGCTCCAAAGCTTTTAATATATATTCTATATTCAGCGCGTGTGCATGTATCCCTTGCCTATTGTCTATTTCTAGAGCGTGAAATATTTATCGTCGCCCCCGGGAGTGTAGATACATCGTATGTAAGAACTAGGGCTTGTAAAACACGTATAAATAAATATCACCCCAGGGTATATGTACAAGTGACATATATATAGGCCTACCTCTCATATCAGACGTACAGTTTGAAATTTAGAGATGCGCCTCACCTCATCTCTCCGTGGTCCCCACAGAATTATATACCACTCTGTTCTGTCGCATGAAGAAGTTCAGTCGATACAGAAGCTGTGACAATTAAAGAAGCTGACACTGCGGTAACGGGATCTTCGGCTTGGTCTGTGAAATAAACCACACTATATATATATGTAGGCCTATCTGTTTACTGCATTGAACTACGAAACAATTTACGAGACACATTCCAGTCTAAAGTAGCATCTTTCGTCCATTTGGGGCTTTATTTAGTGCATGTTGACAGTAGCTATAATGATCACATTCACCCCACATACCTGATATTGCAGATATTGCACTGGCTACATTCGCTCGATGTATATTAACGGCGTATCAACACGGCACGTAGCTTGAATAATAACGATTTGACCTATTTCTCCAATTGCTGTTTTCTTCAGTGGGCGCAGGTGGTAGAACAAGATTATCTGTGACTGTAGTTCATTAATTAGATTGCATCGCCGCAACCTTTTGTTATCGATTCAACACTGAGTCTTTTTTTTTTTTGATCCAGGATGTGTACAGAAAATTTTATTATTTATACGGAGACTCACACAGAAAGCGTTGTCATGCATGTACTTATAGCAGACTAGGCCTACCTATATTTTCTCATTTATAAAGAAATCCTACCTTCCTTAGAGATTTAGTGTTCGATTTTGCTTCCTTATTTTCAGACCTATTCCCGGATCAAATTCATTCCATAGTTTTAATACTCCCTTTTTTTCTTTTAAGAGAAACGCGTTATCGCGGTAAGTGTAACATCCTGGAATATTGGACTAGACCCCCATTAGTATTTGCTCAAGAAAATATTCCCTACATAGACCTACGCCAAAATAAATTTTCCTGGGGTAAAAAGCAATTTTCTCCTAATCCTGAACCATTGCTTCACCCGACCTTGCACTTAGATTTAAATTAAAATTTTTATTCCATTTCTAATTAAGTCATTTTCCTATACTGGTTTGTTTGGTGGGCCTTGGCAGAGTTTCTTTTTAAAAACCGAGGGAGGAGAAATGCGACAGCGCTGAACAACCGGCCATTGTGTTAGGTGCGACGGTATTATAAATCGAACATCCGTGACCTATTTCTACCCACACCGACTATCACAGCCAAGCAGAGAAGCACCTGAAACTAAATTAACTCGTTTAGAGAGCAAAACAAGCAGAATTTGGTGACTGGAACAGCCAGAGATCTGTACCGATTCATCTGTTGTCCAGTCGGGGTTGTTCTGGCGCTAGCGGGCCGCGCCAAAGATGAGTATTTTCGTGGCGAGCCTGTGGGTGTTGGTGGTGATTTGTGTTGTGTTGTTTCTATACACTCGCTCTGACACCACGGCATCGGGGGATGCGTCGTTTAGAAGTTTTCAGCTCACCTATCTCGTGGTCTACATGCTGGCTATGGGTGAGTATTTAGTTTTTAAGCTTCTGCTATGTGACAGTTAATATGTGTGTGTGTGTGTGTGTGTGTGTGTGTGTGAGAGAGAGAGAAGGGGGGGGGGGAGGTAGCAAGAAATGCTTATTTTTTGAAAAAAGTTATTCCATGAAGCAGTCCCAGATAATTTCACGGTTCAGTAAATGAAGTGTGAATAATCATCCTGTGACAGTCATAGCCAGATTTTTTAAACTGATAACTTTGATAACTCGATCCCTCTGTTTGCATGGGTGCTTGATTCTTTTCTTTTGGATCTTGAACTGTTAAGATCTAGATGTAGTGAGCAGGTTACTGGTACTTGATTCTTTATTTACCTCGTATTTTATCTTGCCAAATAATAAGATAATTATGCATGCAAGTGAACAATATGAAAACAGGTAAAAATGGCCCAGAGCCAGTGCATATTCCATTGCATTAAAATGTTGGTATATGGATATGAAAATGTATAATATATGAGAGCTTACCCTGAGGTAATGCATTTAAATAACACACTGATGGGGGTCTCATACACAATAAAATTATATGTATAACAACTTTAATACTACCAGTTCGTGGCATTCTTTACCTAAATCAAAGCTGAATTGAAAGACTTGATCATAAATCATTGTGTATGGTTGGGTTTGTGGCAAAAGTTTGACTTTAAATCTTTAAGCGATAAAGTTTCAAAGAGTGTATGTAAAAAGGGATTTTTGACAACCTGATTTAATCTTGAACTGATGTCATATTGTAGAATGATTTAGAGCTCATACCAGCATGCTCTGTAAGTTTTTGCTTTCTTAATTATAAATATATTGCAAGGTGACATCTGATAAACCTGCTTTTAACTCTGTCACACAAAGGGGAATTTCAAAGAGAACAAAAATCTTCACACAGTAAATGTCAGGGCTATCATGATAAATTAGAACCTACAGTGTATGTGCGTGCATGTGTGTATGCTTGTGTGCGACTCCAATAGAAAAAGTGGGGGTGGAGTCCTTTCTAGGTCAAATTGTCAATATGTTTAAAAAAAGTTTAGGTTCTTGATGTATATAGATGCACACAGAAGTTAAATGTAGGGTAGCGTTTCCTTTGGCTCAAGCCAGTTAAAATGATCTGTCACAGCATACTAGCATATTACTCGTATAATGAAGCTATACATTGATCTCCACATTGTATGGGATAGGTTAGTGTATAATTGATGGTAAAGGTTGGTTTAACTGGCATTAATTATTAATATGCTCATATTATACGAGGTATGGGTAGGAATGGAATGTATAATTAAGTGAACCCATAACCACATCAGTATATATACATATTACTAGTAGCAGTGAGATTTACTTTGATTATAAAGAAAAGAAAAGTAATGTTAAGTATAAAATATTACATACAAATTTTTATTTCCAACTTGCCATTGATTTTGTAGAAGAATCACAAATTGGCTCTAAGGGAGGAAAAAAACTAATGTAATAAGGGAACATTTTCGGATATTATATATTATATTATATATTATATAATATCCGAAAATGTTCCCTTATTACATTATATGAAATATAAGCCAGCATTTAGTTGGAAATGGCCCCTGTTACACAAAGGCATAAAATCAATTTAATCTCAAAACAGAGCTAAAATTTCATCTACAAATTTTAATAACTGAGTTATAAAAACAGGTATGAAGATGACCTGTTATACTCTTCTCTTATCAACTGAATGTATGACCTTGGTTTGGCACTATTAAACCAGTTTTAATCATTAAAAAAATAAATTGCTGTCACCCTTTGATCAAAGTGTCAATATAGCAGGATCTGGACTACCTTTCTTGTCTCTACTGGTCCCTCTTCTTGTAATGGAGAATCTGAACAGGTGCCCTTCAGATTTTTCTTTGGGAGACATCTGCTTATCCTAAGATCCACAACCAGAGGGTCAGGAGGAGTGAGGACAAGAGGGCCTTGATTTGTTCTGATGACATTTTGACACCTTGTTAAAGCACAGACACAGATATGTCTACTAACACATTTAGCTGTCACCTGTGTCTGTTGTTGCTGTCGTCGCCGTTGCCGATTCAGAGATAACATGATAAGTGGAAAAAAAGGTTTTACCTTTTTCCAGAACTGATGAATATTTACAAAATACAGCTCGAGTTAAAAAATGAGCTTGTTTTATTATTTTATTTTATTTTAAAAAGTTATTATCATGCCTGGTAACATGGTTGATGTTGTTATGTTTCAGCTGGAGACTGGCTGCAGGGACCCCATGTGTACGCCCTGTATCAGCACTATGGAATGAGCACTCACGACATTGAGGTGCTCTTCGTGGCAGGCTTTGGCGCCAGTATGATCTTTGGGACTGTGGTCGGTTCATTTGCTGACAAGTAGTAAGTCTTCTGTAATGCTGTCTACTGTAGCTGTACCCCTCCTCTCCCCCTCACCCCCCCCCCTCTCTCTCTCTCTCTCTCTCTCTCTCTCTCTCTCTCTCTCTCCACTTTAACCAAGGAATTAGTTAGGAAATAAGATCCATCTGCTAGTATTTCCTTGCTTAAACAACTTCAAAAAAGGACAATTTTGTTTTTCTTTGATGGGGTGTTTTCTCATATTTTTATTGAAGAGAGGTGAGATTACCAAATTCAATAATTATAATATTTCAGTGTAGTGTCTTTTTGAAAAGTTTTTTTTCCCATTGGTTAAAGAAAAATGACATTGTGTTATATATAATATTTCAGGTATTGACCCTGATATTTACTTTATTTCTAGTGGAAGGCGAGCCAACTGTATCCTGTATGGTGTGCTCTATGGTATGGCGTGTGTCACTAAGGTAGGTGGCGCCACTCACAGGTCCTATCACCAGGCCAGAATATAACCAATCGCCATTTCTTTTCCATTTCCAGCAGCTTTTCTATTCCTAAAAATATATGGAGACTTGAAATTCACTTAAATATTTAGCTGTGAAGAACTACAATTTGGGTTCCAAAAGTATATGTCACATATATATGATTCATTAGTATTGAAGTATACCAGCATGACTTACTACTAGTAAGTGCTTTATAATATGAATATGATATTTTGCATTTTAATCTGTTGTATAACACTTCTGAGCACCTAATATGGCAGCCGGACTGTATCCTCCCCAGGGAGGTGAGAGCGTCTATAGAGTGCAACAGGGCAAAAAAAAAAAAAAAATGACCAGTCTTCTCTGACTTAAATAAATTTCATTTAAATAAATATAAATAAATAATCGGTTTGCAATAATCCAATAAAGATTATTATTATTAGTATCACTTTGATATTCTTCCATACCGAAGATAAAATCATTTGGACAGCCTTTTGGTAAAACTGTCAGTCCCTAATAAAGACCAAAAATTCCCAAGACCAGTAGAAATTTGTCTTCAGTTGATCCAATTTTAAGAGCTGCCATTTTGAATTTACAGTCAGTCTGGTAAAAAGTCATTTGATACAGCAAATGTTCCGTAACTGCTGGTCTGAGAGTTTTCTGTCAAAAATTTATAGTATTTGCTCTCAGTGTCTGTTATGTCATTGTGCAACCTTCAAATTATGCCAGCATATTGCGAAACAGACCATGGCGTTTTATGTCATTTTGACAAACATTGTGTATTTTTTAAAATGTGATATACCATATGATTATTTTAGTTGTCATATTGTACATATTGCTTGGTCATTTATGGATCCCTTATTGAACAAGAACTACTTATATTGCCCAATTTTTCTAAATAAATTTTTGTAAGGTTCTTTTACTTTATACAACTGGCACAGATGGAAAAAGATATTTTGGGTGGAAAAAATAGCCTAGTTTGAATCAGTATGTTATGAATCCAGATGTCCATATTCACTCTTCTGTCTTAATGTTAATTTTTATATTGTTATATTTCAGCACTTTGGCAATTTCTGGATCCTTATGATTGGTCGGCTACTAGGAGGTACAGCTACGTCCATATTATATAGTGCTTTTGAATCCTGGCTGGTGTATGAACACAATAAGGTAGGCCAGGGCATAAAAGTAGTCCTTTAAGTTGAAACATTGTAAAACCATTTGATACATATTAAAACCTTGAAATACAAAGTCAATCATGCCATTGTGTTAGGTCCTGTGTGTCTTTGGTGCAGATATTCAAACATGAAACAATAGTTCAACTTACTCAGTCTGGTAAGTTGAACTATTGTTTCATGTATTTTGATACTGTGGTGGTATCCTCACAAGAATTTCAGCTAGTCACTGATGCAGTGATATTTTAATACACTGAGACTATATTAAGGTCAAGTTCATTTATTCAGTATTGCAGGCTTACAGGTTGCTGCTAAATGTTGACACTATATCCACATTTGAATTAATTTCTGTGTATTGGACGTATTCTGTCTTATTGTCTTTCAGAGAGGATTTAGTCAGGATCTTCTCGGAACCTTATTTTCGCACGCCACCCTGGGGAACTCCTTGGTGGCCATCTTGGCTGGATTTGTGGCACAATTCTTCGCTGACAGCTTTGGTTTTGTGTAGGTGCAAATAATGAGAGTCATAACAACAAAATCTTACTAAAGTTTACGGTTTATGATCTGTTTGACCATAATGATTTGAGTCTTTTTTTTTTTTGAAAGAAGTGTTCCTGATTCATGATAAAACTGGCTCCGTATTGTTACTGTTTGCAAAAATGAATGGTAATTTTAAAAAGGCGATAAAGTAAGTTTTGGAAAAAAAGAAAAAAATCATCACTTTCTTATCATTAACCTTTTCAGACATTTGTAACAATTTTTAGTTTCACAATCTGAGTTTGATTTTTAATTTTACATTAACAAACTGTTGTTGGAACAATATAGCAAGAAAGTTTCCATGTTAATTCCAAATTAGATAAAATCCTTTTGGAGTTTGTTTTTCAAGCCCACATTATAATCATCTTTCAGAGCTCCCTTTGATGTGTCCTTGACTGTCCTGGCTATCATGTGTGTGGTGATCATATTTACCTGGTCCGAAAACTATGGGGACTCCGCTGTCAACGTGCGCACTTCGTTTGTTAGTGCTATCAAATCTATCAAATCAGGTAGGATATGAGTGAACGCTACAGTCTTGGTGTATTTAAACAGAATATCTTTTTACTGACATGAAGTGAAGTTTACATAAATATAACAAGCAGTACAAGTATTTAGTTATTATAATTTTTATTATCATTATTATTATTATTATTTTTTTGTATTATTTATATTTTTTTTTTCATCTGGCTATTTAACAACATTCAGTTTATCATACGTTACAAAACAGTACATTCTAATCCGTCCTTCCCTTCAGACCGCAAGATATTATGCCTGGGTGTGATCCAGTCTCTCTTTGAGGGGTCCATGTACACCTTTGTCCTGGAGTGGACGCCCGCACTGACCCCTGTGGCCACAACAGCGTCCAGTGTGGCCAGCAGGAGACTCCTAGAGGAGGAAGACGTCACTGTAGAGGGGCACAGAGGGGCTATACCACATGGGTATATCTTTGCAGCATTTATGGTATGGTCCCCCCATGGACAATTAATTGTACCACCAGCGTTAGCGCTGGCGGTACACATGGTTTTGGTCCCGTCCGGATCGTTCCGCCGGCTCCGCCGGCTCCGTTGGCTCCGCCGGACGGCTACCGTTACCGCTTCTCCTCCTAGACGGTAAGGGCCCCCGTACCCATCTCATGGATTTAGGTCACCTATAATCTCANTCTATACGAATGCGCTTGCTCCAGCTGGTGGTACAATATTCGGAGGCGGTATCGCCTCTCTGATCCTCTAGTTTTATTTGTTTAAAGTTATATTTGAAGTAAGCCTAGATTCCCAATAATGCATGTGAAAAGATTTCTACTAGATTTTATTCTTCAAGTTTCTTGATTTCTTGTTGTAAATTGACCTACTTATCTGTCCCTTAAGTTTGTAAAATTCGATCAAACTAGTAATGCATGGCACAATACTGCTGCTTATGCTGTTATTCAACAGTTGGTAATATATTTCAGTCTTACTGCTTGGTGGAACTGCTCTTTATAAGTATGAGTGATCCATATTCATCATTAATTGTGGAAAAACCCTTTGCTTTACTTACAAAAATATTTTTGATTAAGTGTGTTTGATTATGTCACAAATACAGATTTGTTGAAACTTCACATTTCCATAGCTGTAACACTTGCTGATGTCTGTTTCTTTATTTCAGATTGCTATTATGATTGGGTCATCTCTATTTAAGATACTATGTAGATGGACCTCCATTGAGTCATTCATGAGGTATGTTTTTATCTCTCTTGTTTTGAATGGCTATTCCATGGCATTAGCTTTTGTTTTTGATTTTTTAAATGTAAGGTGTGGTAAAATTAACCGAGGGGCAAGTTGTTACTGAGTGTAAAAAGGTTTGGAATTGCCTGTATCAGTACATGTCATTGTAAGTGTCCCTTTTCTGACTTGTTTAATGCAGCTAATTTTAATGCAATTTTTAATTAAAATTTGAGTGGAAAATCTTCTTTATCAATACAAGACAATTATTTGGCTATTAGTAAATAATATTGTTATGTATAACTTTTTTATTTCAGACCTGTGTTATTCATATCAGCTGTAGCACTGTGTACACCTATAGTGTGTCCGGGGGTAAGTGTAGTACTAGCAAGTACAATCCTTTCCCTCTCCTCTCTCAGGAACATCTTAAATATTAAGAAATGTTAAGAAAGATCCACGTGCTTACATACTATGATAGAAATCTAAACTCTTCAGCTAGTACAAGAGTGTAATATTTATATTTATTTCTTGCAACTTAAAGCAGTTAATATATTTCACAAAGAATGAATTAGCCTAATATGTATTTATATCATGTATTTATATCATTTTAATACCATGTTGAAGGAATTCATGTTATTCCAATTTCATTGCACTGCTTGCTATGTTGGAAAAAAGCTGATACTGAAATAGAAAATGATGCTTTTGCTCAAACATAAGTTATACGTGTAACAATACATATTTGAATTAATGCTATTTATATCCTATTATCTAAAACTAATGGTAAAATTTCTGATTCTAGAACCAGCTTGTAATCTTCATTGGTTTCCTGGTATTTGAGGTTTGTGTGGGGTTGTTTTGGCCCTCCCTGGGGACTATGAGGGGGAAGTACGTCCCCGAGGAAAGTAAGTACACGTAGACGAAAAATAGTTCTGCTTTGGTCACTTTAATTTGTAGACTGTTTGCTTCATTTATTACCTCCGCCAAGGAGGTTATGTTTTCACCCCTGTCTTTCTGTCTGTCTGTTTGTCATCAACATAACTCCAAAAGTTATGGACCAATTTTGATGAAATTTTCAAGGTAGGTGGGGAATGGGTTAACTTAGAAGTGATTAGTTTTGGGTGGTGATCCGGATCAATAATCAATCAATAATCAATAATAATAAAAAATCGCTGCCTTGGGGGAGGTCTGCTCTCTCGGAGTGCTTTTCTAGTTGTGTATTAATTTCTTAGGAATGTGATGTTGTCAATTTACAATTTTATATTCATTGGAGAAAACAAATATGATCTTACTTTGTCAACGAAAGAAGTTTATTTTGATGTTTTTTTCCCTTCTCAGCACGTGCTACTATAATGAACTGTTTCCGGATCCCGCTGAATCTCATTGTAGTCATTATACTTGTCCAGGTAAGTAACTGCTGATCTATCTGAGTCAGTACTTTAGTTGTTTCAGAACTTCCATAATGTAAACCACAATCTTATCATATTTAAGATAAATTTTGGTACGTATGTTTCAGACAAAGTTGATTTTTTTCTTAATTTTTTCCATACTAGCATATTGATTTTTTTTATAATTCTAAATAAAGACATGCTTCACTAAAAAAACCTGAATTCTTTTTACAAGTCTTGAATTTAATGAAAATTCTTGTAAAATTATTGAAAAAGAAAGTCCTGAGTTGATAGTGATATTCAGTGTTTGTTCCAGCCATATTGGTTTTAACTGCGCTATAATGACTGTGTTTCAGAACCTGAGGATGGACTTGATATTCAAGTGTTGTGTGATGTTTCTTCTGTGTGCTTGTCTCAGTCAGCATGTATTATATAGGTAAGTATAGTGGGTACACGCTCCAGGGACAGGCACATACACGCACATGTAAGCATGCACATGTAAATATACATATTACACAGAGTATAGTACATATACACAAAACATTGCAAGCACACACACACACAGTATAGTATTGCACGCACGCACACACACACAAAAATGTACACACACAGACAAGCACACACAGTATAACTTGTATACACATGGTATTGCACGTGTGCGCGCGCACACACAGTATAACCTATAAACACATGTAGTATTGCATGCACACACACGCACACACACACACACACACACACACGGTTACACCATCACGTATTAGAGCATGCAAGTATATTTCTGTGGCTGCTTCTGTGCAATTTCTTTCTTACATTAAACCAAAGTTAGTGGCCCATCCTCATGCATGCTAGACCTGTAGAGCATATTATTATTTTCACCAGAGGATTGAGATAATTCATTTCGTCCATGCAAAATGTTAGAAATTCTTTGTTTAGAATGCTTCTGATTAATCAACATTTTAAGAATATAAAATCTAGATTTGGCAATTTATGTCATTCCTGAGTGAGCTGGCCCAGAGCTCCATTCCAAAATAAAATGTATCAAAATTGGTCTTAACTTTGAGGCTAAAAATTGTAGCCGACTTTGACACTGAACACTAATTATAGTCCTGGCTGTATAAAGTGGGGTATTTGAGCTGATCACAAAGTTTTTGAAACTATAATGTTAAAAATGACATTTGAGTCCTAGAAATTTATAAGATTAACCTGAAGTTAGATATTATCAGACTTTTAGAAATTCAACTCTTAGACTAGTTGTTCTGTGAGCGGAGATCCATGCATGTGTTGGTGCGTATCCTTAGCAAACCTTGAAATGAACAAGATTGACAGCTCAGTTTATCCCTATGGTTGGGGAAACTTAAATGATTCACTTCTCTTTCTTCTTTTCTGTCACCTTTTCTAATCCTATCTCATATAGATAAAGTTGCTTGCAGAGAGATGGGTGTGGGTAGCTTAGACAATCCAGCATGGCTATTATTATAGATATCCACAAATTTCTGAAATCCACTTTTGTGCAAATATTTACGTTGTGGCAGGGGTGGAAGATAGGAACCCCCCCTTCCTGCCCTTCCTATTTTTCTTTAATATCCTGTGCTTATGAAACTTTGGCTGTTTATTTATCCAATTTGCTCCCCTTTTGCTTGCAGAACTTGCTTTGCCACTGGCACATTCTTAAATTAAACAACATGCTTGATAGACTGTGTGCAGCTGTTTACATGAGAAGCGAATTGGATGATGAAATATTTGAATACTAGTTTAAGTGTGTCATATAAAGAATCTTTTTAGTCAATTTTTCTGGAGAATTATAAAATTCTGCTTGTCAATGAATTATGTATGTAACATCTTGACAGTACCAGCATTTTATATATATTTGGTGGTAAAGAGTTTCTGTAGTGTGTTTGAAAAAAATTTTCCTTTTCATGAGATATACTGTAACAATGATTTTGTACAATTTGGCACTGGAATTACAGGAATTACTGTGGCAGTATGTATTCTACAAACTGATCTTTATAGCAATCTTTAATCTTTTAGCATTTCTAGGAATGCTTAATTCAGCATGCTGGATCAGTTCAGGGATATTTGGCTGAGGAAAGTTCTTTGGAAACTATAGAATTTTTTTCTGCCAGATAGCAGACTTCTGAACTACTGGAAATGTATTCAGATAAAAGAATTGGGCAATTAAAGCTTTTGTAGACACACTGAATAACGATTGATTAAAAATAGATGGGAAAATCTGTTGGTGTTATGCTTAAAGGGATGGCGGACAAGGAGGATGCCAGTTTTTTCCCTTTTCATTGCTTCCCCCATTTTATCATGACTTGTACCTACTTATCTTGTTACAGACTAGTATTGCAGCACACAAGTGCTGAGCAGCAGACGTCCAGTGCCGGGATTTTATGACCTTGACCTTGACCCTTATGACCTTGACCTTCACTGGTGTAACAGGTGCTTATCTTCTGCTTCTCACTTCTTCTATTTCATTGTTGCTAGCCGTCTGCATGGAAAATGGGGTTGAAATATTTCATGTCTGTCCCCTTGTTATCTAAATCTGCTCAGATTGGAAGTTAGCAGTGAAAATGGACCTCAAATATTTTATAGTACACAGCTAAGAAAAGCACTTGATCTGAAAGCCCAGATTTTTGCCAAGGTCGCTCCATTCTCATTATTGATTGATCAATTAATCGAAAAATTGAGGTAATAAATTATTTAATAATGTTTAATGAATCGCCACTTAAAAATCATATTGGTTCTAAGTTTTTTCTGACCAATTTTATTTTCCCCTTAACTATTTGGCTGTTCACTAACAAATTCTAAACCATCAAAGGCAAAAACATAATCTCCTTGGTTGCATTGATATTGCTTTTTGGTTTCAGGATCATTTTCAAGTTTGTACTGCTCTAAACAAATCTGTATGTTTAAAACTGTTGTTTTTATAGGGTGCATCATTGCAGGTAATTGTTGAACAATATATTTATAATGTAAGAGCTTACAGGACAACAAGTTTTATATCTTAAGACTTGCTCACATCAGTATTAAGTTGTGTGTGTCATAAATGGGCAAACAAATTGGCTTAAGACTACATATACCATATCATTGTTGAACATCTTCTTAAAAGCTGCTTTGTAGAATATTTTCTCTTGAGTCTTTTTGATAGGATTGTTAGTGGTAACAGTAATCATTTTCTTCAACTAGAGGCCATATGTGTTGATATTGAAGAAAGAGGTTACTGTTCAGATTGTTGTACGTGTATGCATCTTTTGATTTTTTTTTTTTTTTTTTGGGGGGGGGGGGGGGGGGGGGGCGTTTTTATTTTACTCTTATGTGGTTGTTCACACAGCAAGAATTTGTTTGTTTTTTTCTTTTAAAACACTGAAAACATATGCAAGCATGTAGGTACATGTACACACACACACACACATGCACGCACGCACAGACACAGGCACTGTGTCAGTAATATACAGCCAGAGAACCAGATGGAAGCAGACCAGATTGTTTGTGTATTGAAATGCTGGGCTTATGGCAACTAATTTTACGTTGGGGTACTTAATTCGTGGCTGGAGTCATTGATTTTGTGCGTTTGTGCTCTCAAAACTAAAGCTCGTGTTAGCCAACTACAATTGTCATTTATGAGGCCTGTTAATGTTATTCAGTGACTGTCATGGTTTTAAATGATGTTATTTATATATTTTCAGAGATAGTTTAAATGTTAGCAAAGCTCTCCCTGAAACCAGTGGTGAAGGCAGCAGACAAGATGCAGGCAAGATGCCTTTGATCAAAGAAGACTTGGTGGAAGCAAATGGCAATGAGGATGATGATCAGAACTAATGGGAAGAAGACAAAATGACTTATATTGGGAGGTGGTTGTCAACTCAAAGTGTTGACTCTTATTTCGACTGTGAATTCTCACTGGTTTCTATTGTGATTTAGTTTTTAATGAAATGATATTTCTTTTTATGTGGAATTCTTATGGTTATGAATAATTTCTCTCTGTTTTTCAAGTGGTATTCTATGTTAGTTCATCTATTTTTATTTTATTTTTGTGGGGATGACAATGTGGTGGCTGCCAGCAAAATATATTTACCCAAGCTAGCCATGAGGTAGGTCTTGCAACTTTGCATAAATTCAAGCAAGATTTAAGAGGCTTGGAAGAGAGAAGGTACAGAAACGTTGAGAGGCAAGCAATTGTGGTACAGCAATGAAAAAATGACAATTTGTACACAGATATCTTTACGGTCGTTTCCTCTGGTGATTTGCAGAATTACAGCTTTGTGTGCTCAAAACATGGTAATAAGTTACTTACATATTGTTTTCTAGGGCAACATTCCTGGAACATTAAAGGGATAACAATTCTTCAATTTGGTGGGAAAAGTGCCATAAAACAAATTTTCCTGGGATAAATGATGATGGCAGGCACAAATTTCAGACTAATTGCTTTAACCACCATATAGGTGGTAAAACAGAATTTATTATATTTCAAGGTTTTGTTTACAATGCACTTATTGTGGAATTTTGAATCTTATATGAAGAGTTTTTATCCCTTTATTTCATCCTTATCACTGAAAAGTTCACTCGACTTCACAGGTATTCTGGGATACTTGCTAGTCTCGTATGGCCTCGCACTGCTGATTTCGGCCATCTTGGACGATTTCCATTCACTAAATAAATTAAGTAGAGGAGTTGTGGTTAATACTTGGTAAACAGAGTAGAAAAAAATGTTTTGACACAGATTTGGACATAATATGGTTATGTCACTTGTTGATCTTATCTCTGTAATTTTGTGAAGGCAATCACTCATTTTAATTCTGTGCTTTGATTTTTGAATGGATCCGAGGCATCAAATCTGAAATAATTGTCTCAGAAAAAAAACAGAGGACTTAATTAGTAGACCATGGTTGCAGAAACCACGAGTTAGTGAGAAATGCATTAAGCCATTACTACTTTCTGAAATTATTTATGTTTAACACTTTATTCTGTATATTTTACTAATTTTGGTGAAGATGAGTATTACATACTTCAGTGCATTCCAGAAACAATACAGAGAAAAGAATTGTGATTAAGTATATATGTTCATATATAGGATGTAATACCTATTGTGAGAATACTGTAAAGGAAGACAAATTGGAACATGGTTGTCTGTGAAATCTGTAAAGTGAAATAATTCTATGATACACAGAGTGATACATAGAGGAGGCGAGAGACAGGTTTTTAGTAATTTTTAATGGTATTTCTTTACTTTCCGGTGAAAAGAACTTGGTCATATCTTAAAATGAAGACAATGTATAGTTATGCTATAGGAAGGTTCTTTTTATTTTTTCATGGTGGTTTTTATAATAAATGTATTTTTGCTTTTAGGTAGGATTCTGTTTTTCTAGCCCTCTATTTTATTTTTTTTTACCATTAAAAACTTCTCTCATTGCAAAATACTTTATTGAAGGCATTGATTTTATATATATCCAAGGTAACATGCAGTTACGCAACTTGCAACTAGTAACTTCAATATCTGCAATTTAACTGTAATGAACAAATTGAAAGTGAAAAAAGCACATTTTTGAAATATTTTGTAAAAAATGTACGTGATATAAATTGACAATATTTTTGACATACAGTGATTAATATGTGATGCGTTATGTTCAAGTGTTCTCACTCCCTGACATTAATTATTAATCCTAAAAAGAAAGGACATTGAGCACACTTGTCAAATTTGAAATTTGATTAATTCTGTAAATATTTATCCCTGCTACTTGAAAGGCATAATTTTAACCGAAATCTTTCTACTTTAAAGCAAAATACAGCTTTATAAACAGAATGAAATAGTCCAATGCCACCAACATGAATACTGTTACAGTAGCTGTTTTGTACTTTACACTGCATAACGCCACTTCATAAATTTTTCAAATTAATTAACTAATTAGTAGCACTAACCCAGAAACAAAATTAATACAGATCCTAAAAATTCATTTTTACATAACTCTAAGACTTCCAGCACCACAAGTGCTCTCCAAAACAGTCCATTCCACTGTATGTTAAATGGAACATGGCACTAGATTCCACATATCTGTCAATAATTTTTTCTCAAAGAGTGAGGCCTCCATTCATTCTGTATTTGAAGGACAACATATAAAATATTCAACTTCTTTGCCTTAATCAGTCATGATAAAATGATAATACTCCTAAAATGTTTACTTGTTAACAATGTTGTACACCAACCATGGACAAGTGAGGGCAAGTGTAGAGGAAATACCAGGTTGAGATTCTGAAAAAAATGCCATATTTCATGACTTTATCAGTGTCTTTAACTCTAACTTATAAGCTTATAATTATCAAACAGGTCCGTCTTCTGGCAGTATTTTGTTTACGTCCCAGTCTCAAGACTGAGATTGGGTCTGGGTCACCCCTATTTACATGAAATCTCCTAGGATTGCTACAGATCTTCAATCTCTTGTAGGACCTGAAGTTAAAGAGCAGAATAAAGGGATGCATATTAAATCATTCATTTAAGAATATCTAGCAAAGAATTGTCTTAGGAGACTGTTTTTAGGAAGTACTTCTTGTCATTTAGTTATTTAACTGGGGAAAATATTATATGAAACACATCAATTTTTAAACACCAGAATCAGTTGTTTTTTTTAAAGTGGTACAATACAATACTACTACTACTTTACCTCTTGCATGGTAGGGCGAAGTTTCTTCTTGTAATTGAGGCAGTTAACTGCTGTGCTAAATAAGCTATTAAACACGCTCTCTGGCCATTCTCCTGCCGTTCTGTCAGCTAGCTCAAGGGCGTTCTCGCTGGAATAGTTTTCATCCACATAGGAGGCCTAAAAATATCAATAAATATAATAAAATAACTTCCATCTCTCTCTCTCTCTCTCTCTGATTGTTTGGGGGGGGGGGGGGGC